CGAGATGTCATGAGTTTAGCTCACGATACACCTATGGCTGGTCATTTAGGTATCAATAAGACTTATAATAGGATTTTGAGTCATTTTTATTGGCCTAAGCTAAGGAAGGATGTTTCTGAGTTTTGTAAGTCGTGTCATGTCTGTCAGATGGTAGGTAAACCGAATCAGAAGATACCATCTGCTCCTCTCCAACCAATTCCAGCTTTTGAAGAACCGTTTAGTCGAGTGTTGGTGGATTGTGTAGGACCTTTGCCTAGGACCAGATCTGGGAACCAGTATTTACTTACCATTATGTGTACATCCACTCGATTCCCTGAAGCCATACCTCTTAGGAATATAAAGGCAAAGAGCATAGTTAAGGCCCTAACCAAGTTCTTCAGTTTTGTAGGAGCACCAAAGGCAATTCAGTCGGATCAAGGCTCAAATTTTATGTCGGGGTTGTTCCAACAAGTCATGCATGAGTTGGGTATTAGGCAGTATAGATCAACTGCTTATCATCCTGAGTCCCAGGGAGCGCTAGAACGTTTTCATCAAACCCTAAAAACAATGCTGAAGACCTATTGTTACCAGTATGAGAAAGACTGGGATGAAGGGGTTCATCTTGTACTATTTGCTGCACGAGAGGCAGTTCAGGAGTCTCTTGGGTTTAGTCCTTTTGAATTGGTGTTTGGTCATACGGTTAGGGGTCCTTTGAAATTGTTGAAGGAAAAGTGGCTGACTGAGACTAGTGATCTTAATCTTTTAGATTATGTGTCTGATTTCAAAGAAAAACTTTACAATGCTTGTAAGTTAGCACAAGAAAATTTGAAGAGTTCTCAGATGAAAATGAAAATGTGGTATGACAAAGATGCCAGAAATAGGGTGTTTAAGCCAGGTGATAAGGTTCTTGTATTTTTACCTATTCCTGGTCAACCTTTACAGGCCAGATTTTATGGCCCTTATGAAATTGAAAGCAAGATCAGTGATGTAAACTATGTAGTTAAGACACCAGGTCGACGTAAAGAGAAACGGGTTTGTCACATTAACATGTTAAAAGAGTATTTTGAAAGGTGTGACCGAAATTCTGTAAAACCAGTTTCCACTTTAGCCAATGCTAAGACTGTTCAAAATTGTATTGAGAGTGATACGAGTGTAGAGATGAATGAGAAAGATTGTAATCAGAGTGTCCGCTTGAAAAACTCAGAAAGTTTTGGCAAATTTTGATGCCAAACTTGAACATTTGAACATTCACCAAAAAGAACAAGTTAAAAACTTGATGAATGAGTATCATCAAATCTTCTCGGATGTTCCAAAGAAAACTAATGCAGCTTGTCATGATGTCATAGTTGGCGACGCTCTGCCTATCAAACAACATCCGTACCGTCTCAATCCAATAAAATTGCAGTACCTAAGAAGGGAAGTGCAGTACATGTTGGACAATGACATTGTTGAACCTAGTAAAAGTAATTGGAGCTCACCATGTATTCTTGTACCAAAACAGGACGGTACCTACCGATTATGTACAGACTTTAGAAAGGTGAATTCTGTTACCAAAACTGATTCATATCCAATACCTAGAATCGATGACTGTATTGACAAAATTGGAGACGCGAAATTTGTCAGTAAATTTGACCTGTTGAAAGGCTACTGGCAAGTACCGTTAACAGAAAGAGCAAAAGAAATATCTGCTTTTGCTACACCAGATGGACTTTACCAGTATAAAGTAATGCCTTTTGGCATGAAAAACGCACCGGCTACATTCCAAAGGATGATTCACTCCCTTCTTCAAGACCTTGAGGGATGCGAGGCCTATATTGATGATGCCATCATATACAGCGACACATGGGACGAACATCTCCCAATCATGCGTGCTTTATTTGACATTTTAGCTAAAGCAAACTTAACTGTGAACCTTGAGAAGAGCGAATTTTGTCATGCCTATGTAGAGTATTTAGGTCATAAAGTAGGTCAAGGTTATGTTACACCTATTATGGCTAAAGTGGAAGCTATTGCAAAGTTCCCGATTCCTACAAACAAGAAAGAGTTAATGAGGTTTTTGGGCATGGCTGGGTTTTACAGAAAATTTTGTCCAAATTTTTCCTCAGTTGTAAGTCCACTTACAAATCTTTTACAAAAGAGGGTTAATTTTGAATGGACAAAGGACTGTGAAAAATCCTTTCATAAAATCAAATCTGTCCTTATGAGCAATCCAGTTCTGTCAACTCCAGATTTTTCTAAGCAATTTAAGCTTACTGTTGACGCTAGTGATGTTGGAATCGGGGCAGCTTTGTTTCAAGAACATAGTGATAAGGTAGATAGAGTTGTTTCTTATTTTTCAAAGAAACTTACAAAATGTCAACAAAAGTATTCCACCATTGAAAAGGAATGCCTTGCTTTGTTGTTAGCCTTACAGCATTTTGATGTTTATCTGAATGTTACTTTGCATCCAATTCTTGTATATACGGATCACAACCCCCTGACATTTTTGCATAAATTGTCAAACAAAAATCAAAGACTGACTAGATGGAGTTTGTTGTTACAAGAATACAACATAACAATTAAGCATATCAAAGGCAAAGACAATGTTATTGCAGATGCCTTGTCCAGAGTATCATAAACAAATTAGATTTTTGTATTAATGTACATATATTTCATTTTGACAATGTAAGTTTTCATTGACATTCAAACTTTTTAAGGGGGGAGGTGTTGTGAGGTGTGTATTGTTTCATCATGTATATTATTAGTAACATTAAGTTTCTTGAACATTCCAGAGTGGTCAATATGTTTAGTCATTTTTTCTAGAACATTCTTGAACTTTATTCATGTCCAGAACTTTCCAGGAATATCATGTACTTACAACTTCTAGAATATTCTAGATTTATATTACTGTATAAATATCCTGTCAATTCGATGCATAGATAGCACTGGTCGTATAAGCATCATTGAGGTATTACTGGGATAGAATTTCACTGGGACATTGTGTGCAGCAACGGACACTCTGATGTATGTATTTTTAGATTTTTGCTAAGTTTGTAATTAGTGATTTGTAGATTACTGTAAATAAATTATTGTTAAGTTTAAACTGTGTGATTAAGACTGATAGTAGCAGGGCCATCTTGTGAAACACATAGAATATTCGAACATCCCACATGAACTAGGACTAGAAGCCATTGAACATTGGATTGAAGAATTCCCAGAATTACTACAACTTCGTTTTTCAAAAACGTTTATCCTAGAAAGTTTAAAATTCATATTGGAAAATAACTTTATGAACTTCGATGGAACAACCTACAGACAAAAACTTGGAACAGCTATGGGAACCAAAGTTGCCCCAACATATGCCACACTTACGTTGGGATACCTTGAGGAAAAATTATACAAAACCGTGGAAGAAAATTTCGGTGTTGAGTGCAAACATTTTATTCAAAACTCCTGGAAACGATATTTGGATGATTGTTTTATAATCTGGACCAAATCTACCGATGAATTACGAAGTTTCTATGATATTTTAAACAACATGAACCCCAACTTAAAATTTACAATGGAGAGTGACGAAAACAAGTTACCATTTTTAGATGTTATGGTCATGAAAAAAGAAGGGAAAATCGTAACCGATGTATATTACAAGGCTACGGACACAAAACAATACCTTCTCTACGATTCCTGCCATCCCAAACACATCAAGAACAACATTCCATATAATTTAGCTAGGCGACTCTGTACCATAATATCGGACAAGGATATTTTAAGTGTCAGACTTAATGAGTTACGGGAATTATTAAAACAAAGGCATTATCCAACCTTACTAATTGAAAAAGGAATAGACAACGCCAAACTACATGACAGAAACAGCCTACTTCAGATACAAGAAAAACCCGCAAAAAATCTCATTCCCTACGTATCAACACACAATCCAAAAAATCAAGAATTTTTCCAAGTCATCAAATCCAACATGCCAATTTTAGAGAATGATCCAAGGATTAAAGACGTATTCAGTGAATTTCAGCTGATCAAAAGTAAAAGACAGAGCCCATCCTTAAAGAAGATTTTAACACGAGCCAAATTTAACAATACAGAGGAAACAGCTGGTGCTAAAAAATGTCAACATCCAAGATGTGGAACCTGTCCCTTTTTACAGGAAACCGAACAATTTATTTTTAAAAATGGAAGAAAATTCGTTATCCATTCTTCTTTTACCTGCGAAAGTTCAAATCTAATATATGTCATGACATCCCAGCTAACACAAAAACATTTTAAAAATGTTTTTAAAACATTTTCAAAATGTTGCGAAAACATTTTTAAAAATGTTTTAATCACGTGATTTTGTATGGTTTTTTAAACGTTTTTAAAACATTTTAGTGAAATATTTCAGCAAAATGTTGTCAGAACATTTTCTTAAAATGTTGCAAAAACATTTTCAATAATGTTTTAATCACGTGAATTTGTATGGTCTTTTAAACGTTTTTAAAACATTTTAGTGAAATATTTCAGCAAATGTTTCTGGAACATTTTCTTAAAATTTTACGAAAACATTTCTGAACAATGTTGTAATCACGTGATTTTGTATGGTTTTTTAAATGTTTTTAAAACATTTTACAAAATATTTCAACAAATGTTATCATAACATTGTTATAAAATGTAACAAAAACATTTTCAAAAATGTTTTTTTTCACGTTTAATTTGTTTGGTTTTTAAAACGTTTTCAAAACATTGACGTCGAGGTTACAAAAGTATTTTTAGTGAAATTTTATTTTTCTCATTAAATAATGATGTATTTATATTTTAAAAGAAATAAACACAAATTATATTTAATTTTTGAGCCTTTAATACAAACCCATATTCAATATGTTAATCACATTAAAACTCCATTCTCGGTACAAGTTTTAATTTATTTTCTTTCAAGTCACCGGGTTTTTAAAGGGTGAAAACGGCGTCTAATCCATTCACTGAATTTTAAAAGAACAGAATCACAGAAATCCTATGTTCACAGTTTAGGTCGAACAGAGCGGCGCGGATCCATAAGACTTAGTTAGAATCACATACACTGAAAAGGCTGATAAGGAATCCGCCCCTCGGAACGAATAGCACAACCTGTAAAGATAAGGAAAATTGTATTTGTATCAGCGTTTTACATCTAATTATCTTGAGATGATCAATGAAAGTATACAAAAAATATTTTAAATAATTATATCAAATTTAAGTTCTTTCCTCATTTGCATTGAAAAAAGCAGAAAAATAATTACTATGACAACATAATTAAAGAGTAATAGTATTTACGTACACCTTTGCCTTCACCAAAGGCGGGTCTTTTGAATGGGGGAATTTGAAAATACGGATGATGCAATCAACACCATGCTGTAAAGAAATTTCATTTTTAAATCAACATATTGTTTGATGATTTTGAAACATTCCACAAAGACAACGAATACTTGAATCAAGGATATAATTGTGTTGAATTAAGAATGAGATATTCAAATCAAATACATGTGTATAACCTTAACGCTTTGTCATTTCTTAATGCTACATACATTTGTACAAAGTTATTCATCATGCACTGGTAGTATAAAAGTCAATTTTAAATGATCTTTTAAAGTCTATGATAAAGGAATAATTCTTACCATTCAAAGTTAATAAATCCCGAGGTTATTATTGTTGTTTTATGGTGCAAAGTCTTCTCATTCAAATCGGCACGGAGTAAGCGCGCACATCCTGTTTACCAGAATTCAAAATTTGGCCTAGATAAGCTGCAAACCACTATACTCTGTAACGCGCTGCCCAGCAGGAAAATTGCATAATAAGTTATCATGACACTGAAACTGACCAGTGTGCCAATCCCTATCTAATGCCTCAGAGTAAAATCCTGGGAGTGGATCACAGATTTGATGAAGAACATTTTAAAGAAAAAACATGAAGAGTTTTATCAAATGCTTTTGATTTTTTACATTTATTTATATTCTAAATTTTGTGTTTGCCTATTCTTTCATTTATTGATTTTTTGATTTGTTTTAATTAAAGGACTTTATATATGTCTGTTTAATCAATAAGCCAAAACTAGAAATCATTATAAAATGCCGGAAAAAACCTTTCAATCAAAAAATTACTAAAATTCCTCATTTCAACACTATTCTTTCTATATATTCTTTTTTTTCTTCATAAACTAAATTTTAGGAAAATCGCAATCATACATCATTTGAATGTTTTAAGAACATTTTGAAAATAATATCTAAAAAATGTTGCAGCAATGAAAAATGAAGGCTTTAAAAAAGGAAAACACATTAAATTGAATGTTCTAAAATTATTCTTACAACATACTCTTAAAGTTAATAAATGAATTTAAATTGTGCCGCAATTACACAAATGTTTCAGAAACATTTTGAAAATGTTTCCAAAAAATGTTACAAAAACTATAAATGTTTCAATTGTAGTGAAAATAATTATTTCAGTTAATGTTTTAAATAAACATTTTCACTGCCTAGGCCGAAAAATATCCGGAATTTAATGTTGATAACTAACAGCGATATTAAGAATGTTTTAAAAATATTTTAAAAATGTTCCTTACAATTTTTTTCAGAAACGTATAGGCAATGTTTCCGTCTTACAGAAAAAGAATGTTTCATTTCATGTTTTAAGAACGTTTTTAAAACGTTTTATAAGATCTTTAATATTTGGAAGCTATACATACCCTTAAAATAATTTTAAGAAAAATGTTCCTTAAATGAATTAAGAATGTTTCAAAAACATTTTGACAACGTTCCTTCCAAATGTTTCAGAAACGTATTCATGCAATGTTTCAGATTTATGGAAAAAGAATGTTTCATTTCATGTTTTTAGAACGTTTTTAAAACGTAATATAAAAATCTTTGACATTTGAAAGCTAAACATACCTTTTGAAACATTTTAAAAACGTTTCAAAAATATTTTAGAAAAATGTTTCAAAAGGATTTAATCATAAGCTTCTTGAAAACATTTTAAAAATGTTTTTAAAATGTTATATAGAGAAGAGGAAATGTTTTAAAAATGTTTTTAAAATGTTTAGTCTGAAATGTTTCGAAAAAACCTTTTTACAACACCAATAAAATGTTTTGAAAATGTTTCGTGCTACCTGGGATGTTCAGGATGCGGCGAGAATTATATTGGCCAAACCGGGGACACCCTTAGACACCGTATGACGGTCCATCGTCAACAGATTCGCCAAACTGAATACCAGTGCACTGCCGTGAGCGGACATATCAGAACATGTGCTGAAAACATTTTTCCGAATTTTACAGTACTTCCTATATACAAGTTCTATAACAAGACTTCCGAAAAGGAACGTGAAACCAAGGAAAAACATTTTATTTCATTGTTTAAACCAAAGCTAAACGCCCTGTCATAATAGACAATTTACAATTTTCCCGCATTATTTGTCTAACTGTTAACGTCGTAACATAATGACGTCATAATGAACTATACTAAAGCGCAACAGTTTTGACGTTACATGACGTCACAATATACTTTGAATTGTTTGTATCTATAGCAATATGTCAAAACTCCTGATGATACAATTGAAACCGGTAGAGTTTTAATCGGCGTTTTGTTATTTTTTAATATTTAAATACTTGTGTGGTTTTTTCTCATCAATTTTCTGGATTATATATATATATATATATATATATATATATATATATATATATATATATATATATTTTAAGGAATCACTGTCTAGTTTTGAGGATATGCAAGGGCATCAACAATAGTGGGAAACATGGGATAATTTGCATAACGGGCGAAGCCCGTTATGCTAAAATTATCCCATGTTTCCCACTATTGTTGATGTCCCTGGCATACCCTCAAAACTAGACAGTGATTCCTTATATTTCCATTTTTACTTGAAATAACCATCATAAAATAAATCGAAATACCGTCTAATTGAGTAGATTTGAAATGCACAAGGTCCCATGACGTCAAATTTTACTATAAAAAAATAGTCCCAAAAACACGAAACAAATTTATTGACTATTTATATTTACCGTAGTCAAATATCAATATTTATAAAATAAACAACAAAAGAATTTTAAATGATGATCAAAGAAATCTTGTTGACTTTAATTATATATATGTGACCTAGATTTAGGTTGTCGGAAGCACGAACATGAATAGGCACTATGTCACTTCTCCGCCGCCATATTGAATGCAATGTTGCATGGTCAGGAAACCGATTTGTATGGATGTTATAATAACAGAAGAAGTTGAGTTGCTTAAGAAGTCGAATGTTAATGACTAAGGGACGATGTCTGTATCAGATGATGGAGTACGTGCAGATCCTTGTGGCAATGTCAATTTCTCCACGTGGCTGTTACGGAAGTGGTGTTCTCGGACTCGCGAGGCCTCGGTCATAGTGGACAGCGTTGCACAAGTGACTTGCTTTCGAGCCAAAGATAATTCATGAATTATTTTGTTTGTTAAAAAAATATATATCATATCAAATTACTTAGTAAACAATTAAAACATCTTTTTTTTCTTGAGTATATTTATACGCCAGTGATACACATGCAGGTTGACACCTGACCTTTCAGTGATAGAGAAGTATACATACCACAGGGTATTATCATGAAATAAACAAGTTACACTTGTAGTGTTTATCATAGAGAAAACAATTGGAAATGGAAATATATATATATATATATATATATATATATATATATATATATATATATATATATATATATATATATATATATATATATATATATATATATATATATATATATATATATATATATATATATATATATATATATATATATATATATATATATATATATATATATATATATATATATATATATATATATATATATATATATATATATATATATATATATATATATATATATATATATATATATATATATATATATATATATATATATATATATATATATATATATATATATATATATATATATATATATATATATATATATATATATATATATATATATATATATATATATATATATATATATATATATATATATATATATATATATATATATATATATATATATATATATATATATATATATATATATATATATATATATATATATATATATATATATATATATATATATATATATATATATATATATATATATATATATATATATATATATATATATATATATATATATATATATATATATATATATATATATATATATATATATATATATATATATCCAAATTTGAAAATTTCACAGTGTCCGGTTTTTATATAGGTAAAATTAAAATAAAAAAGGCAACACAGATTAAAACGTTAGCGCTTTCATTACATCTTCTGACGTTTTACAAATGCATTCTTTATCCTGACTGCAATGTCTTACAAAACTATTAATACTTTAAAAATCATTATCTATAATTGAATCTGACAGCAAGCAATTAAATGCTTGCAGTTTGTTCACACCTTTGAAACCAAATCCGACATGTGTTTATACTCTTAGCCGGAGAACATCGAAAGGTTACACTCTGTGTGAAAGTTTTATCAGAAATCAAATTAAATCAAACTGTTAAGACTGGGATTAAATTTTTGAATGAAATATTTCTCTTTTTCTCTTCTTTCTGTTATATTGTCTTTAAAAAGTTTATAAAAAGGGAACACTTTAAACTGTCCTTGTCCGCATCTATCAATGTGTTCGCTGAGTTTGATCTTACGGTACTCAGGAACTTGAATATGCTGTTTATGCACGCGAATTCTGGCTCTCAATGTGGTCCCCGTTTCACCGATGTAGAATTGGTTGCATCCTCCGCAAGTAATAACATGTATTAAATTTTTGGACTCACATGTCATGTCTGAATTAATAAAGAAATCTTTTCCTCTTGTGCCACATCCGCGATGTGGCACATGTTCTGTTTTAAGAGAAGGAACATCATTTAATTTCAGAGGAAAAGATTTCTTTATTAATTCAAAGCGCTAACGTTTTAATCTGTGTTGCCTTTTTTATTTTAATTTTACCTATATATATATATATATATATATATATATATATATATATATATATATATATATATATATATATATATATATATATATATATATATATATATCATTAGAAACAGACGATTGGTGTCATGATTTTCAGAGTGTGGTTGAAATTAAGTTTGATGAAAATGACGTCGTCAAACGCGTAACCGGCGCACGGAGATGTAATAAATTGTTTTGAATAGGGTTTGTGGACATCAGAGACGGGGAAAAGGAGTAAAGAAGTAACATTACAAACCAAATTTGACCTTTTGATCTTTACCTAGGAGTTTGATCAAATTTAACATGAAAATTTTAAACTTTTACTTTGGACATATCTTTTGAACAGTATGTACCAGGACATTTATACTTCACATATGTAATGTTTGTAAAAGGCCTTTCATTGGATACCAACAACCTTGACCCTTTGACTTTGACCTTGTAGATTTCCGTACTTGTGAAAAAATGTAACCTTAGTCATAACTTTTGACGATAAGGGATAGGGCTTTTAAATACCATATATGTAATCCTTATGAGAAGACTTTTCATTGGATACCAAGAACTTTGACCCTTTGACCTCGACCTTTGAGATTGACCTACTTTAAAAAAGCAAACCTTGACCATAATTTTCAAAGAGTTTGGCTAGTACATTCATACTTTACATACTTGATTCCTTTGACAAAACCTTTCATTTGATAAAAAGAACTTTGACCATTTGACCTTGACCTTGGAGTTTGACCTACTTTTTAAAAAACTGAACGGTGGATATAACTTCGCGTAATACAT